TGAAGGTATATGCTCCTTTTCCTGGCGGCATGTTTTGCCATAGTCTCCACGAGGTTTGTGGAACCGAAATATGAGTAGAATCTTTAACTTAACGTATAGCCTACGGGGGAGACAGTTTTGTCGCGGCCAGCCATGGTATAAGGTGGCGACCGCACATTGCGATCTGCTTTGAGGGCCGGTACTCACCCTGCAGGCTGCCTGTGGCACTCGTAGCTGGCAGCAGCTGCTCAGGCGCGCTGGACAAGCATCCTGACAGCCAGGACCCAGCGGCTGTGCAGATCAGGCAATGCCTTGAACTCCAACCTCCTAGCCCCTAGTGTTCATATATGTGTTCATGGGATTGATGTATATTATATATATTATATATTTATATATATGTATATCATTGTATATCGGAGCTGCAACATCTTCAACAGGATCAACAGGATCAACAGGACCACATCCAACCACACACGTCAACCATTGGAGACGCTCTCCAGCTAGGAGCTGACTAGGCTGACGGGGCTGCTGACGGTCCAGCCTGGGGTGCCGAAGAACTACCCCGTGAGATCCAGAGAGCTAACCCCTCTGGTGCCCTTGTGGTGGATAGGTCCCGCAACTCCAGCATGAGTGGGGTGACATCTCAGCGCACGACTGGTCCTTCCCCAAATTGGGGCATACAGGTTTCACTGGGGGTTTCATTGGTCATGTCGGACTCGTTTCACCAGGTGTGGCACGCATTTGTTGGACAGTGCCTTGGCCTGCAGCGGTGAAACGGGCGGTTGCAAAACTGCGGGTGTGTGAAGATTTGCCATGGTTGCAGCATTTGGGGTTAGTTTTTGAGCCATTGGCCATGGCCATACATGAGACATTTCGTTCTTAGGAGGTCCTCCAATGGCCAGGTTTTGCTTGGGGTGATTTCTGACATTTCTCATGGTACACCCTTTGCTGCATTTTGCTGCAATTTAAGGTTTTCTGCTTATGGCGCGAGAGAGAGAGAGGGAGAGTGTGTGGGAATCGGAAGGCCATTCTGCCGTCACCTTTAAGAGGTTCGGTTCCTGTATCCGAAATCACCGATAGACCCCTTTCAGCCAATTCTTTCAGATGTCCAGCTACTGTACTCTTGCGGCATAGCTAGCCAGAGACTCACGCCGCTTCACCGCCCCAGCCAAGCAGCCAAGCAGCCTCCGCCCAACAGCCAACGACCCGATAGCCCGATCCAACGACCGCACCGGGGTCACCGGTACCGGTGCAGGCACTCACTGTGTCACCCAAGCAGCCTCCGGAGTGGCGAGGCGTGGTCCTTGGGCGGGTCCAGGGCACCTCCTGTGGGTCAAAGCTAGGAAATGGGGCCATCAGTGTTGCCGGACTGGCCACTTCCTCGGATCAGCCCTCGGCCCCCCGAATTGTGATGAATCGTGATGAATCGACCCACCATGTTACGCCCAGCGCAGCCGTCAGAAAGCCGAGAAAAAGACACCCAAAAGCGTGGCAGCGTGGCCCCCTTGCTGATCTTTGATTATATTTGCACATCTTGAAGGTCTCAGAGGTTTTTCTCCAATCCCAGAAGCTGTGCGTTCTGCATATTCTGCATCATTCTGCAGGGAGGAGTTGTTGGTTTGGGGCAGTGGATTTTTGGTCACTGTTTGGCGCCCTGTGGAGGGGTGCCCCTATGGACCTATATTTAAAATATATATATCTTTCATTGGAGAGTGCAAGTTTTCAACATTACAAAAAAAGACAAGAAAGTCAACTTAGTAGTCAGTCCCAAAAGTCAAAGTCAAAAAGTTTCAGACAGTCAAACAATGTCAATTGGCACAGATCCGACCTTTTTAGTTTTTTGTTTGTAATGTTGATGTCTTTTGATTTCTTTTTTTGGCTTTTTCGTTTTTTGTTTGTATATTTTATGTTTATAAATCGAGTGGCTTTCTAAAGTTGACATTTCTTTGCCGAGTTGTTTAATACCTTTGTTCTTTAAACACTTGTTTAACTCCTTTTTGTTTCGACTTTTTTTTTTTTTAATATTAACTTTTAGACTTTTCCATTTGACTTCTTTTGACTTTGACTATTCCATTTGACCTTTCTTGAGATTTTGTAAGACTCTTTTAAATAAAAGATTCTGGCCTTACCATAACTGATAACTTTGTTTCGGCACCCCGCCATGTGGGCGCCGCAGGTGCGCTGTGAACGTTCCCTCCGATTTGGTTCCGCTGCTGGAGAAGATCAAGACGGCCTCGTCGGGCATGACCAGGCCAGCCATCGCCCGCCGTCGTCCAAAGGGAGTTGGTCTTTGGATGTCCTTGGGGTTGTGAGGGTTCGGCAGGGGTCCCAGGGTCCCAGGGGTTGTGCGTCGTTTGTGGGTTCGGCAGGGGCCCCCAGGCGTCGTGCGTCGTTTTGAGTTGTCATCTCGAGTCTTCTTCCAATGGTCGAGTCTAAGTGCATAGAGCCGGACTGCTGGACGATAGCTACTAGAGCGGAAGATCAGTATCCTTGGACCATCCCAGAAAATCCAAGGGGAAACCAATGGACAACCCGGTTGCTGATCTGTAGCTGCATATCCGGACATACACACTCAAGACTTCTGGAACTTATGGACGTTCATTTTTCCATGCCAATTATCAGAAGTAGACTTCTTTGTGGACTAGAAACCGTTCATTTAACACAGCTCAGGGTACGGCAGGGAACAAGAACCTCACCTGGGAGTTGGAATCCACCGCTACCACAAGGGCAAAATGAGTCATGACTGAGTCATGACTGGACTCTCAGGGGCCATTTCTACTAAACAGCCATGTGTTAGGCTTCCAGCTGTGAACAGCGGAGCTTGTCTGGAGGTCGAGAGAGGTGCAGACCATTGAAAGGTGCGGAGTTCAGAAGACGTGGCCTTGGAGAAAAATGGCATCAGACGTTTCCTTTGGAGATCCACTCACATACAGCACGATCGTTGGCGCTTTTTTCAAACATCGAGCTGAACAAGTGCTGACCTGCCCAACCTCTCACCATGCACCTGGAGGGTCTGCACCATGCCACCGGTCGCCCTCGCCGTTGGGGTCGGTCGCACTTCTGTCCCGCAGGGCAGCGGTGACCGCCACAAGGGATTTGATGCGCTGTACCGAGATCATCTCAGAGCGAGGTTCGGCAGCGGAAACTGCGGGCGGAAGGTCGGGGGCGGGAGGTCGGTGAAGGTCCGCGGGGGTTTGTGGAGGGGAAGGTATAGGTGGCTCGGAGCGGTGGCTTTCATGACGGATTTGGCTTTCTAGCAGGTGTTGGAAGGAAGGCCTTGCGACAGGCGTCTGGAGGGCCTTGGTCCTGGAGTGTGAGACGGTTTCCGGGTTTCCAAGAGTTCTTGAAATAGAGGAGCTCTCAAAACTATTCAACACTTTGGAGTTGGGAGGTTTGATTGGGAAGGTGGAAGGTCACAAGAGGCAGTTGAGGGCTGACGAGTCGACCAGGTTAGAGGGAGAGCACCTTGGAAGATCACAGGGTTCTGGCTGCTGACTGTTGGGGTTCGAAAGTGAGCTTATAACACTAATTTGGCCCTTGAACCGGACAGGTGTAAGGGCATGTTGTCCATTCATCAACTGGGGCCTGAGTGTATATCTAAAATATACAGCCAGGACAAAAGTTGGTAACAAGCTTGTGAGTATACAACCTACTCGTACAACTCTTTCCCCTTAGAACCCGACAGGGATCACAGTGGAATGCTGGCGGATTAATTTCCACCCAAAGAACTGTTACAATTTCGTGCGGGGTGGAAACTAATCAATCCGCCGGAATTCCTTTGGGAAAGGGAACTGGTGTCAATGACATGCTGGAGTGACGTTGTTACCAACATTTTTTTTAAATCCTGTTGTTGTTGGAATGGGGGTTCTTGCGATTATTATCATCTTATTATCATCAACCATCTATATACATCATTGGTTGCATCCAATTTTCTGTGCCCTAGCCTCGTATGTCTTTGTCAATTTCCTTTTGACCCAAATCGCTTCAAGCGGAGCAGCGCAGCTTTTCCCAAGGTTTGAAAGCTGCTGAGCTGTCCAATCGGCCGGGGCGCCAGTTGGGGCTGCGGAAGCCTTCGTACAACACGGTCCACAGGACAACTAGGGATACATATATAGATATATATGTAAATATATACAGTGGGAGTCAAAGACTATAAACAGAATTGTCTTTAGGGGGCCTGAAGGGGAACTTCCTTTTTTTCAGTCAATATCTAGTCTTCGGACCTCTAGGGTATGTGTATATACATATTTGTTTAATTACACATATACGTGGGCAGTCAAAGAACCTCCAGTCGCATAACTTTTAAGTTTTTTACATGTTTAAGAGATGAAGGTTAGGTCTTAAGGTTCTCCCTCCCTCTCTCTCAAACAATCATGGAAGTGGAAGTTGGGCATCCGGTGTTCATAGCAAAAAGATCTTCCAGACACCGTATTTTCCTCTATCATCGTGTGTGTTGTTTTTGTGTGTTGTTTGTGTGTGTGTGTTATTGTTTTGTCCTTCTCGGGGATTTATATCTGATGATTTGATCCGATTTATCTCTCTCACAGGCCATCAGCTGGTGCTAAGCAGCTCGGACGCCATCCCAGGCTGCTTCAGCAATCAAAGGCATTAGCCGACACCTTGCACTCAGCCGGGCTCCTGGGTGGGCCAAGCCGGGCGAATTCGAAGTCGAAATCGGCTCTTGGACAGGAGGTCCATAAGAAAAGCAGAACTGGGCGTGTGGACAAATGTATTTTCATACTTGGCCAGACCTCATAAGCCTCAAGCAAGATTGGTCGTGTTTTGGTGCCATCTAGAGTTTGATGTCTACTATAGTTGGGCCATTTTGGGCCACTTTCGCATGGTAAAAGCCAGCCTGGTTCTGTAGTCCACCGAGTCTTCAGTAAAACAATGGTTGGTAAAGGCTCAGAATCCTAGGGGGTCTAGACGGGGTGCCTATTCGGTCACGCACGAGGGCACTCCTTAAGCCTTAAGCGGTCGCGAACTAAAAACCATCTGTAGATCAGCCAGCCCAGAACCATCCAGAACCTGTGTCATGGCAGGTTGCACGTGTAAGACCCGTATGTTCATGTTGTAGATCAGCATGAGTTCCAGCTGCCGCCTCCAGCCGACTCGGTGAAGCAAGTTGGGCTCGGGCTCGCAGAGGGTGAAGACTTTGGAGTGATGGATGTGCAGGCGGGGCAGTTGCGATCAGCAACAGAATCAGACGGTTTCGGATGGTTTTGGAAGACAGATGAGGACAACTATATGGGGGCTCTCTCTCTCTCTCGCTCTCTCTCTCTCTCTCTCGCTCTCTCTCTCTCTCTCTCTCTCGCTCTCTCTCGCTCTCTCCTCTCTCTCTCTCTCTCGCCTTCTCGCTCTCGCTCTCTCTCTCTCTCTCTCGCCTTCTCGCTCTCGCTCTCGCTCGCACTTGCATGCATGTATTCCATTGGCAGGTTTGGCTTCGCACAGTGTTAACTCCGAGGAAGAAGTGAAGAAAAATAGAGACAAACGGAAGTCGACTTCAACAGACTGAAGACGACTACTGTTGGAAGCTAGAGAGTACATGTTGGAAGCTTAAGACTTTTTCCATGGTGTTCAGAGTCATTTTTCCATCACAAGCCGCTTCGGCGAAGATTCCCAAGAGTCTTTTTCCCCCCTGGGAATGTTCACCTGTCTGGCAGGTCAATGTTTCAGAGGTTTCAGAGATCGATCTCTGATCCTTGTGCATCAAGAAGCATGCAAGCACGAATAGACACAACCAAAGCTGGCTATAGTGGTCCCCAAATAGATAGAAAAGTAGATCCCCACATGCTAAAAACATATATTTTGTTGGCCTCTCCGTGGTGCCGCGAGGATCTCAAAAGAAGGGAGGGGCCCTGTATCAGCTAGGCCATACACTAATGTTTTTGTGATGAAATGAATCAGTCTGAATCAGTCCCGCTTCGGTGGGAATCCGGAACATCTGTTGGAGGTGCATCGAAGCATATCGAGGCTGAAGGGGGTTGGTCTGAGGTGCATCTCAACAGCCTGGAGGACTGCGGGGTGTTTTACACCCTCAGAAGCCTTGACACTTGACCCATCTTGACCTATCTGAGGGTCCCCTCGATGTTCGATTCTGTAGGTTTGTTGGTGTTCTCTCTTACATCAAAGCGCGTTGTCCCTGGGATACCCAACAAATCCCAACAACATAGTGGACAAATCCTGACCTTGCCTCCAGCGTGCTCCTTGAAACATCTGCCTGGCCTCGTTCAACTCTGCGCCCATTGAGTCATCCCTCCAGGGAGAGATGGAGAGAAGGGAGTCCAGCGTGGGCAGCGTCCAGTCCGACCTGGTCCAAGGCTTCGGGCCGTGGGAGTGCGTCTGCGGCGTGGGTCCGGGGGGTGGACGAAGACTGGAATCACACTCGGACGAACACATGGTTACCTGGATGGAATGGCCGGAAGGCCGCCCTCGCTTCTGACAAGTACAGACCACCAAAGGGAGATGTTCCTCCAGACCGAGCGTCTCGATGTTCTTTAGAGTTCTGAAGGGTGGGTGGTTTCAGTGCTTTGGAGAAGGGGGTGGAACCCACCTGACTTCCTTTTTTTTTCCGGTTCCCTGAGTTGAAACCACCAACCAGTTGGGGTTGGGTGCTGGAGATGCAGAGAAGCCAACCCAAACCGTTATATACTGCTTTCCAAAAGCGCCACTCAGCAAGCATCGTAACCAACGCGATCACAGCCTGAGGGGGGTAGTAGGTCTTAGGTGGAAACTCAGCCGGATCTTCCCACATTCACTTGCCGATGACACCTGCACTACTTCTGGAAAGCAATGGCCTTTACGACGTTTGGGCGTTCTTGGCATTTCTTGGTGGTCCCCTTCCATCAGTAGCAGGGCGCCCCGGTGGGTGGGTGCCTTGAAGCGAAGCGCCGGGGAGGTCCCCCCTCCTCGCCACGGTGCGCAACGGACCGCCGCTCGCCCTGGGCAGGTTCGGAGAAAGAGGACGGCAGAGGGGCGAACTTGGGTACCAGCAGCTCCAACAGGTCACCAATTGAAACCTGTTAGGGCCTAACAACCCTCCAAAGGAGACCTGTTGGAAGGTGCTGGTAGATGGTTACAGTGCCACAAGCATCGGTCGGGCACGGCATTGGCACGGCATGGCAGGAATAGACGTCCTCCCTGCACTGTCGCCTCCGCACATTCAAGGTGACGTCCAAGCACTGTCGTCATTGGCCAAAAAGAGGTGCAAACAGGTTTTCCAACTTAATTATGTCTTTTCAATCCCGACGCACACGATGGCGGTGCCGCAGGGGACAGGTTTGCACCACCAAGCATCGAAGGAGTTCCATTGAATTAAAATTGATCATTTGGTTGATCCTTCACTTTCAAGTGACGCCTTGTGACACTCGCAAGCCTCGGCGGCAAGGGTTGATCTATCATAAATTCCCGAAGGATTCAGTCGTACCTTCTCAGGAGGTGATGTGTTCGACACTGATCTGTAGCTGCCAGAACGTCGGGTCCAGTCGTACTGAACCTGAGGTTCAGTACGACTGGACCCGACAATGGCACCTACATAGCTACATAGCAGTGGACCCTCCACATCACCACCTGAGGTTCGGTACGACTGGATCCCTAGGGGTTGGACCACTTGGGTTTATTAGGGGTACTTGGGGTCCTGGTGGCTTCACTTCCACTACCCCCGGAACCCACCAGGAGTGCGAGGTGCGCCGGTGCCGCTCGGCGATCCTCTACGAGGTGCCGCCAGGCACCGGGGCGTGACCCGTCGGGACGAAGGCCAAGGTTCCGATGGCATGGAGGGCAGGGTAGGTCATACTAAAAGACACCAACAGGAACACGTGTTACAATGTGTTACATGGTATAGTCATGTATATAGTCTTTCTTTTTTATTCCTTTGTCGTTGTGGGTTTGGATGGTGCCAGAATGTGGAGCCATACATACAAAAGCATACTATTTCATGGGCCATTGGGTTTTTCTTGGATGACTCTTTCAGTATGTTTCAGTACGTCGATCACTTGTATCAACATTGTTAATATCAGATGATATGTGTATACCAGCACCTTCTTCCAGGTGTCACCTGGCTGGGTTCGCTCTCACTTCCATCCACTGTTCCGCCCACGCCTTTGAAAGCCGTCGATCGCCAGACATCGAGCACTCCCGAACTGCCATGTGGATTTTGAAGGATGATGAGGATGACGATGTGCCTTGGAGCATTGCTGGGGGTCCAGAGGTGCCGATGTTTTTCCACCGCACCCGCCTGGTAACACACAAGTCATCGCAAGTCCATAGGTAGAGCGAGGACTCATTACTGGTAGGGCTTTAATGGATTTAAGAATTCCTTGATTTCGGGCCGTTCGCCGCACTGACAGAGTTCCAACCTTGGTCCCAGGTGGTACACTTGTAGGATGAGTGCAAATAGTTTTGACAAGGGTCTATTATGATGGTTCCAGATCGGCCATTGAGAGCTCTTTGATGTGCAAAACATATCAAAAGTCCATCCGCTCCGCAACTTGATGCGGGCATCAGTTGGAATCGTCTTCCAAACCTTTCTTGCCCATCGATTGGCATCGACGTTCTTGTGGCAGTTCTCCATAGACCGCAGCCAAGCGCAATGACGTTCATTCTCGAGAGGTTCGCAGCTACTTCCCTTCTTGCTGTTAAGAGCTCAAGGCTCGCTGGCTCCTGGAAACCAGGTGCATCGCGATCCGGTAGCTCCAGTCTCAGACTCGTTTCACGCATCCTTCAAGATGTTGACCTCGTGTCGGCAGTTGGATCTACAATCTGTCTGAAAAATTTGCCGGTTTCCCTATCTATGCTTGGTTTTCAGACTCTCGAGCTCTCCTTTTTTTTTCCCTCATTGGGGGGGAAGAGTGTGAATAAAGAGAGCTGAACCACGTCGTTGACCCAAGTTGTATATAAGATGCACAACACTGTGTACATTCAGTCAGCCTTACACGTAAGTCCTCTGAACTGCAATGTCAGGCGGGTTTTTCCAGCGGTTTTTCACACCCAGCCAGATTGGAATCGGGGTGCCACTGACACCATACATACAACGGCATGAAACAGTGACACCCAGCGAGGTGGTGCATGGTCTGAAGTCCACAGGACCATCCAAGGCCAGACCCTCCAGAACTTCGAGGCTTCGTGGCCAAGCATTGGTGCAGTGAATGAACATCGGTCGCAGCAGCTGGCAAAATGAGCTGGGCATTGATGATGAATCCTGATGGACTTGAGCTGCGTTTGTTACTCATGCTTGGGTTCACGGACCAAGTGCTGACATCCTGGCCTGGGCGTGCGCGCCATGCTTGGTGCTGTATGCCTGCACAACCACAGAATCTGGATATTGGCCGTTTGCTTCAGTCCCCATCAATGTCTCCTTTTGCTCTTGCCCTGCAAAGCTTGGTTGTGCCTAACTGGCACAAGAGTGTCTACACAAGGTTGTGGTGTGGCTATGAAGCCTTCTTGGCCTTGGAAAGTAACAAGATCATTCGGATGGCGACGCCTCCCAATTGGCGAGAAGTTTGGTGCTCATGGCTCAGGATGGTTCCTGCGCTGATAGGCCTCATCGTCGGCATTGTGTTCAATTTGGGTCGGATGCATCAATTTATGAAGTTCATAAATGAGAATCTCAGTTCGCTAAGTTGAGTGACCTTTTAGCATCCTAAATTTGGTCTCGCGGTGCCAAAACAATTTTGGAAAAATCTGGTTTCTATACAACTTTTCCCCGCCAGCCGCACAAGTGAGGAATGATAGCGTTTTTGGCAAGCCTGGTGAGTCAACACTCTGATGCGGCTGTGCCTGGTTGCCAACCATGTGGGCCTACTAGCCAGTACTTCGGCCGGCTATTTTCCGTATTGGGGCTATTTCTTACTTGCTGAAATTGACCGAGTGAGCTGGCAAGCAGAAATGGAAGAGGCAGAAGCGTTGCCAAAGCAACGAAGTGAACGTTCGAAATGAGATAGGTCACCAGGTTGATGAAGTTGACAAAGTGGCCCAAGTTCTGTTGAAGGCTGCACTTCGAGCTACATATTTGCAGGAGGTTGAACTTCTGCATGCAGGTTTCGTTCAAGTGGCCGTCCCTGCGATTGTGCTCGGGCCTTTGTTACTGTTGGGTTGTGGGCTAGCGGGGCAACATTTTGTTGAGCTGAATGACTCGGTTCATCCAACCTTCTCTAAAGTTTGGCTATCAATTCAATCCTCATCAATTCTTGCCAGGCTTGCCTTCTTGTGGTTGTTTTGCAGGCGCTCCTCCATTCATGAAAGATGCTTCATGCTGAACGCCATGGCAAAGATTGTGACGGTATTCTGTTTTTGCCTGGTGGAGCTGAGTTCCGTGTTTTCAGCCCGACAGAACATCGCAGTGATTGTTGTGTACTCATTTTACTTCGCTGTGTTCCCTATCTTCGCTGTCTTGGGCATTCGTGGCACATTGAAGTTGCAGGCCAGCCTTAGAGCATTCAGAGGTTTTCTCCCAGTCCACAGGGGATTTGTCAGATTCTTCCGCATCTGAGACTTATATAAGCAGCTGATTCACTGGTTCATTCGCACGAGCACTGGACCGCCAGTGGTGGGGCACCCCAAAAAGGAGCGTTTCGCTCGCAGAACGCATGATCCGTAGACATGCCTTTCAAAGGGTGTTCTTTCCCCGGCAAATGGACATTTTAAGCAAAGAAAAGGAGAACTTGAGAGACCTGGACCCTGGTCTGTGGATGTCTGTGATGGGCGAACTCAGGGGCTATCCCTCAACCTCTCATAGGAATTCACCCTAACCTCTCATCTTCTCTCCTTCCTTTGGAAGACTCGGGGTGCTGCGCTGCCCCGATCGCCGCTGCGCCCGCTCCGCCCGAGGACACCGCGTTGGATCCCTACGTCCGCTCCCGAACGGCGGTGGTGTTCCGCGGGGCAGGCGGGTGGGATGGGGGGGATGGGAGGGGAGGGGGGTGGGAGACGGTTTATATCTTATTTGAGTATCAGACGCAATTCTTACAACATGAAATCGTCTTGTTGAAGCGAAACGGCCCAAAGCTACTAGGACAGCGCTGCTGTGGCATTTCGAAGCCAGGAGGTGATGGGTTTTAAAAAGCGGTGACACCAGGGTGGAGCGGACCTAACAACTGTATGCACCCCCAAATAGATAGAACAATGCAACCCCTTTCAAAAGGTGGAAAGTTCATGACCGCGTCATAAGGCGGCATAAATACTAGGGCCTCCATAGTGGTCAAGGAGCACTGCTCTAGTACCCTAGCACGTACGTTTAGGGCACCTGGCATGTACTATGGATCAATGTCTATACTGCCCATCTCTTGGTTTCTTCAGAAAGATTCTTGGTCTGCTACCCTGGCCAGGTGCTCATGAAAGCGAGCCGCTTGATGAGGCACCGGCTTGGAAGGATGCATGCAGACGGATTGGACACAACAACCAGAAATCAAACAAAACAGTTTGTCAGTTGAATAGATTTGAATAGGGCATCACACGACATCAGATTTCTAGGACATTCGTTATCAACACCATCGCACCTTCTATTCGTTTGAGGCCGCTAGCCGCAAATTGAACAGCATTTCAAGGCCTATTTGGGGGCTACATAGCCATGTCACGCCAAGTGTGACAGAGATCCCAATTCCGCCAGGTAAGTTTTTTGTTCCCATGAAAGAAGTCCGTCGCATGCAAGCAGTCGGTGGAGAACCAAAGGAGGCACCACGATGAAGTATAAGTAGCGTCCTGAAGGAGCAATTCTATCCTGTTTGGCATGTGCTCAGACCGCCTAAACCATTGCCAGCACAAAGTATATATAAGACCTGTGTTCTGGATTTTTGGAAGGTGGTGAGTGGCGGTGGCTGTTTGCGCGCATGTTCAAGTTGCAAAGACACCAGCCCTTTGAAAGGCGCGTATACGCCCTACGCGGGTTGCCCTGACTAGCTGATCCACCCGCCCCCCAGCTTGCCTACCCAAGCCGAAGGGGGCCCGCTGAAGGGCCCGAAGGGCCCCGCGTCCAGCTTGTGATGGTGCCAGGGTGCCGAGCGCTCGCGGGAGGAGATGATCATAGGCGCTGGCTTCAGCCGAAGATGAAGGTTTTATTTTGGGCTACCAGGTAGAAAGAGGAGAAGTGTTTAAAAGATGTGTCAAGAGTCTTTCAGAGGGGAGTCACTTTTCTATCTAATGATTTTGGGGGGTCACTGGCTTTTTCAGGTAGGGCACTCGCAAACAGTAGAAGAACATGGGGTTGTGGAATATCGCCTCCGCAAACAGGACCGGGGATCCCAGTGGAAGACTGACAAGCCTTAAACAGGTGACGCATGGCAGGCGAAGCACGTCAAGAGTTCCTACAATGTTTGGTCGACCGAACGTAGCAGCTTCATATTTGCTCGATGTTTTTGTATGGGTTCATGGAGGCATAAGTTGTGACTGACTTCATGGCAACGATTGGAATCAAAAATATAAAGCCCAAGCAGAACAACCCCCTCCAACCAGGGTGCAGCAGTTCTAATCACATTGAGGAGCACAGTGCTGCAGAGAGGGAGAAAATGATAATAGATTTGGCCAAGTACTTAGGATTTCGGATTGCTCGGCTTTCTTTCTCATTGTTTCTACGGGGAACTCGCTTTCCACGCCATCGTTTTCTCAAGTTTCATCGGGAATCCACCAAAAAATGGTCATCTGCCAGGCCCCTATCTTCCCCGACCTGTTCGCTGTCTTTGAAACGAATGTTCCATTTCGCAGGTAGGCGGCGGCAACGGCCTTCCCGAACTGCCATGTGGATCGAGAAGGACCTGCCCATGACGTCCGAGAGCTTGGACGTCACACGGGAGGCCATGAGAGGCCCAGCTGGGCCTTGGATCAAGGCCACCGGTAAAGATGTTGTTCCAAGAGAGGCCTGAAGGAAGAATCCTTTGCACCACCTGAAATTGGGAAAGGGGTTGCTGCCTTTGGAGTGTGAGCGTGGGGGTTACAGCTGAGTCGTTTGCTTAGTGCTTAGTGCATCTTTCTCTGTCGTTGGCTCCGTGTTGGGGAACCTCACCGTTGCTGCGGATGGTCGGATGGTCTACCCGACGGGGTCCCAGGCCTGAACCGAGCTTCGAGCCCACTGGAAGCAAAGGCCTGTCTCGCAGCCTGGAAGGAGATGGAAGGAGTGGATTGGAGCGGTTTGAGGGGTCCCAACGGGGTCACTACAGGTGAACCTTCCCTGATACACTGACAGAATCGGAAGTGGATGGCATGGCCCCAGGAGGATGACCTTTTTTGCGCATACCAAACAGATGGTGCCATCCACTTCCATGATGATTTCAGGCAGTGTTGACTCTACTCGACCACTGCCTGAAGCATTGTCAACGACGTGCAGCCTCTGTGTGAGACGTTCTGAGGTTTTCTGCTTCAGAAACTGACTGAGATCGGGTGGCGCTCCGCCTTGGAGCAAGCGTAGCATTTTGGCACGGCCCTGCGAAAGATGATTTTTCTGGTCTTTACTCCCCCTCACAACGTAACTACAAAGAACATGAAGGAACAACCGACCAAGGCAGACTTTGCAAGAGTGAACACATTTGGAGAAATCCCCAAGTTGAATAAATACCATGCAAATCCATGCAACCTTTACAGGAGGCGACCTACCACATAAAGTCACAATGCGGAAAAGCCCACTAAGGCATCTTCAATGCCATCCGCGGAGCGTGATGAGGCGTTCTGCGCGGCGTTTTCCTTCGAGTGCAAGGGGGTGGGGAGGTCGAATTGGTAGGAATCCAGCGATTTGAAAGAAAGTTACTGTAGGCCAGAAGACTGAAACCCTAGGGATTCAGTCGCACCTTCTCAGATACGGTGATGTGTTCGACACGATTATGTAGGTGCCAAAACGTCGGGTCCAGTCGTACCGAACCTGAGGTTCGGTACAACTGGATCCCTAGAGGGAAACAGATGGCGCAGCGCACCCATGGTTTAGCCCGTGTTTGGGGTGGATGTACTCAGACCACCAGATGGATGGAGCTTGCTTCCGTGTGCGAAGGGATCGCTGGGGAGGAAGCTCCGTGACTCTCAGAGCTGAGCTTTCGGGAGTTTGGAGCTCTCAGAGCTGCGACAAGCCATGGAAGTGGATCGGTTGGGAGACGGACATCTTCCCCAAACAGCCGGGACGTCTCCACTTCCATGGATTGTTTCGGAGAGGGGATGCTTTAGAGTTCAAGGCAGGGTCGATGACGGTCGCACATATCATCACATATCATCAATTGTCCATGCTTCTCCATCGCCCAAGGAAGGAACACTGACTCTGTGGCAGGGTTTTCATCTGTTTTCAGGGGCTTTCTGTCTATGTTATTCTTACCTGTAGGTTTCCTGTAGAACGACTCTACATACGTTGTTTGGTGCATTCTGGGTGACACTTGGTACTTGAGACAAGCTCTTAGCTCGAGCGACGATTCGGCCTCACCTGCACTCAGCCTTCTTCTTGGGCAGTTGGTTGGGTGAAACGGTGAAACCATGTGAAACCCACTCAATCCAATGATCCATTCACCTGACAGGTCCTGAATCCACCCAAAGTCAATTCCACACGCGGCATCCGAGGCATTCAGCCGGAGAACCTGTACAGAAAGGCCTTCTATGCAGGACTTGGGACTCCGCACTTGTTGCGGCGGCGTTAGCCGCGGCGCGGCGTGAGCCGCGCTATCGCGTAGACGCACGGGCGAAGGGGTGGCGATCCCGACCCGTCACCCCTCTGCAGATGTGCTGAAGTCTCAAGATATCTCAAGAATTCTCGAGTGAAGCTCCTAAAAGCGCTGCATTCCCATGTTTGGAAACAATCACCTGAACGGGTCAGCTAGGATCAGATTGACCACGGAATTGTGCCATGAGCACCCAACTTGCTGAAGCCTTCGTCCAGTTGCCGAAGCAAATTATCTTACAAGCATCCATCCATCCATCCATGCATGCATGCATCCATCCATCGTAACATAACATAACAGTGATAAACCGCCCGCCCCTTGCCACTGGCCTTCTTTCAGACAGGCACGGCTTTTCACAGCACAATGACAAGTGACAAGTGGGGTCCCTTTCCTACTTGCCTGAAGGCATGTAAGTCTTTTGTGTTTCGGCACGGGCAACAATCGTTCGCTGCTGAAACCCTTCGGCGCATTTCAAGCAACTGACCTTGGGGCTGTGGGTCCCACTGAAACGCCCATATAACAGATCTATATAAGTCTTCGGCATTGTGCCCCGTGATGAGTAGAATGGGATTTGCTTCCTGTAAATTATGGCATTATAGTGACGTCAAACGATGTCACTTGACATTTTGACCTAAATGTTGAAATAAGGATTGACAAGTTTTTTTTTGTAAACAATCTGTCATGTAGATTGGGAGGGTGCACAGAGTGTCCTCGTGGGATGGCTGCACAGCAGCTAGACTGTGCAAGAGAGAGAGAGAGAGAACAAAGGTATCCATCACGAGTGAAATTGAAGTTGCTTCTTGTTTTGTTTCTGCTAGTGCTTTCTTTGAGAAACGCCAGTGGGTCAAGGCAGCGGTTTTGTCTTAAAAACGATTAACCACGCCCATGTCCCTAGAAACAGATGAGAGGGTTCCATCAGATTATCACAGGATTCTGCCAAAGCTATTGAAAAACCAAACACTTTTTGCAGCTCGATCCCCAGCTAGAAAGGCATAAGTTTTCGAAAGGCAAAATCACAGAAGTTCTGGCAGAGCTATTGAAAAGGCCTTGCATTGTAGCCCAGGCTAGAAAGGTAGAGGTTTCCGAAAGGCAGGTTTTCAACGCTATTCAATAAGCCTTTCAATGCAGCCCCTTGCCGGGCTAGAAAATAAGCTTTCCATATCAATCTAATATAATCTCCTGATTCATGCTTTTTCTTTGCGTTCGATCAGCAACACATGCGACCCATTTTCGATTTGAATATGAAACAAAATTGAATTGGACACTAAAATCAATTTAAGCACTATATTATATACAGATGGGATGCTTCAAGAATCTTCAAGACCAAGATGCGTGGAATGTGTTGAGAAAGAACGCCGGGAGCCCAACCGGGCGTTGCGGCATTCACGGACCTACTGCCATTCGAAGGCCTGGCCAAGACCAGGCCCTTCCAGTCTCGCGCGCCGTCGTCTCCAGCCGCAGAGCCGCGACGTCGCGCGTGAAAGAAGATCTCTCCGAGGAAACTTCCGTATGTGGCCTAAAATCGGTTGCGACAGAGGCCCCATCCCCCACAAAGAAATTTCCTGAAGATAAACACTGTTTCAGGTATGACTGTTTGGGGGCGAGGGTGTTCTGCATCGTGCACATGGTCCGTGAGGACATGACATGACATGACATTTGTTATGTCATATCATTTCGGCGTGTTGGCTTTCAAACAGTTACCTGTTGACCTCTCAGCAGGCAGCAAGGTTTGTCTCGATGTTCAAGATTTGCACTGGTTCAACCGGTTCGCAGATGTTCTAGGACGGTCACTGCAGTGAATTAAGCATCGTATATATTCCTTGGGTCTCAAGCCTCGAGCCCTTTGGAACGTCCTCGGAAGGAGAGGCGAAGCCTTTTTCAGACTTGTGTGGCTGTTTTAGCACAGCGTTCGCGCGTCCGAAGCTGCCAGGAGGTAGGCAAGGGATGGGGAGCGTTTGGAGGAGGACATAGAGTCACACACTCCTTCGCGGCGTTCGATTTCCAGCCAAGAAGGCTGACCCCAAACCGGTTTCTCTGCGGACCCGCGTAACCACTTCCTGGCTGGCACGGAGAGTCGCAATGCCCCAGCAGAATTGCAGGGCGGGTCACTTCGTGAAACTGGCTTCTCGTCGGAGAAAACGGAGTGTGTCATGAAATGCCCGAGGGAGGAACATGGAAGAACGATGGCTCCAAGGTGTCAGGACATGCCGCTGCCAGACGAGTTCGGAGTTTTTTGAGTCCCAAGTTGGTGGCCAGTGAGCCTTCAGATGTACCCAGAGGTTTTCTCAGTAGACCTTTTGTAATCCCTTCTTTCCTCAAAGAAGCTCCCGCGCCATGCTTTTGGTGCCCCCCAACCGTTTCTTGGACATGACCAAGGGAGTCCCAACCCGCCCGAGTCAGTTGTTTGGGGCCCGCGCGTGGTGCCATTTCTGGCTGAAAAGTCCGAAACCACGTGGTGAGCCAGCAAGATGGTCCTGCAGGCAGGGTGGGCCTTGGGAACTCTGGGCAACTTCTACAATTCGACCATCCAGCTGGTACAGGAAGAGAATATGATAGAACATCCAAAACATGACCGGTCGACCCGTTTCCGATCGATGTGTTCTTGGCTGGATTTCTCATCATATCTCCCAGACACTCCATGTATGGCATATTTACATCACTTACATACATCCAATGACCACCCAAAACAACACCCCTGGCCCGATCGGCATATATATGGCAGTCCCATGGAGTGAGTGTCGTGTCGTGTCTGGGATATCTGACTCCAGGATGTGACCCCAAGCAGCGGATCCGATGTGTCGCGGGGACGGATTCGTGCCTCGTACGAACGACCACTTCCTACGAAGCACGGTGAGGAATCAGACATCGATCAGATGCCAGTGAAGGCCTATCACCCAAGCACCGGACACGACCAGACATGCAGGATGAGTCAGTGGGTGAGTCAGACATGCTTTCACAAGAAGGATTGCTGTTGGGGGCCAGGCATGAGGCGTGCCAGCGCCGCAAGCTTCCTCTTCCATGAAGATGTGCAGGCACCGTGTGCCCGGTTGGGGGGGCGGCGGGTGGGTTTTGGGAGCGCATCGGAGAGTCCCAACGACCTCGCAGAATCGGTTGTTCGTAGACTCCCAGGTGGGGTAGTTGACTCGCAGGTGGGGTAGTTGACTCGCAGGTGGGGTAGTTTCATATTAGTTTCATATGTTTCATTGGAAGTTCTGGGGAAGCTAGAGCCATCAGGAGAGTGGCGTACGGAGAGGAAGGGAGTTTTCAAGAATCGAGTGCCCGGGAGGTGCTCATGAGACCAGTTGTAGCCTTCTCATCGTCCTGGATCGCGGTGTCGGAGCCACCCAGCATTGGCAGAACCAACAAAGCCTGGCTTGGAAAAGGATGAAAAGGACACATGATTGTTTGCTCCAAGTCGATAGTGCAAAACCCATCAGTTGGTTTTGCTGGTGGTTTGTTCCCCCTGGCGCGGTAGAGTCACAAAGACTCGTCCCAGTTGTCCGACGATCCGCCATGAATCCCAGACATCCATGAAACTGCCATAGAACTGCCGATCAGGCCAGGGGTGGTTTTGGGGGTCAACGGGGCGGCAGTCGCAGTCCCATGGATCGTCGTGTCTGGGTTTGATAGAGCGTGGCCCGACACGTCGGCAGGCTCTTCCGGTGACTCCACCCGACACCGAGGGCACGGCTCTTCAGCCCAAGGCGTTGTGGAGCCAGGGTGGGGACGTTTCGAGAAGGCCCTTCAGTGGAGCAGTCATTTCTACCCTAGCGATCCAAGTACCTTCTCAGGAGGTGATTGGAGACACTCTTGTGTAGGTTTTGAGGGTCCCTAGGGCTATACATGTATCTGGGTTCCTGCAGGTGACCCGATGCTGGGTAACCCACGGTTCTGTTGGGTGGCTGCAGTGCCAACACAAACAGGAACAGGTGTTACATTGTATAGTCTATACATGTCTATACTTCCCTTGTCTAGTGGGTTTGGATGGTCCCAGAATGTTGAGCCATACATACAAAAGCCCTCTAAGGGGGTGGTTAATGGATACCCGTTAAGTGTCTAAGGGGCCTTAAATAGACACCTCTTAGGCCCTGGAAATAGCTTCCGATTGTTTCTGTTCAGGTGCTGGTTTGGCTGCTCGCCGAGGTCCCGTCCTTGACGCCGCCCCCTCACCAGGTGCGACTCGCTCGTCCTCCTGCAGCGGCCTTCACGGCGGAACAATGGCACCATGGTGCTGGCGCAGAGCACTCGCTTCGAGCCGCGGTGGGTTCCGACCGTTTGGGTGGCCTTCGTTCTGGCAGATCTGGGACGGTTCTTGAGTTGCCCTACAGGAAAGGTTTGTTGTCCCTGCCCGGGAGAGGTTTCTGGTACTCTTTCCCACGAACCTGTTTCCATTTATTTCCATGGTCCATGGTTATATAAGTTATTATATAACATAATTATATATATATATATAGCAGCATTCCTGAAGAAAAGACAAGTGGGTAGAAATGGACATGCAAAGGCCTAGGCCCGATTGGAAGCAAAGACACGAAGTCTTGTACATGTGGGATGTACAATGCACAAGGGGGTTGGATCCAGTAGCAAATCAGGGTTCACCATGGTTCACCCCCAAATCAGGAGCAAAAAATCTATGAACAAGGGAGGGGCATGTGGTGTGAAGTTGATCGGCACTTCTTTTTTTTTACAGTTATTTTTTGCTATTGCGATTTTCCAAGGCCAGCTGCTTCCTGAAAGGTTACAACATCTCCATGCTATATTATATATTATATAGTATTTTCAAGTCACTATCACCAGGATGCTCACAATCACCTGCCACACATCCCGTCAAAAGGTGTCAAAAGAATTGGAATCCCCAACCCTCCCACTCCAAACGGGGCGAGGCTTGGATCCGCACGTGCGATCCTCTGAGGATTGGAGGAGTCATCGATGGACTTGACCAGCCTGAAATCCCTGGGCACAGTGGCGCTCACCGGCGGGGCCGCGTCTGCTGCCAACGTGCTCTTCGGGGTCTCGGTCATCGGGCTCTTGGTCTTTCAAGTGGCACGTGCCACGCCGCCTGGCAACCGGAATTGACCTACCGGACCTACCCAGGAAAAGTGGAGAACCTGCCAGAACCCCCAGTCGGGGTGGTTAATGGACACCCCTTAGCAGCTAAGGGGCTATTATAAATAGACACCCCGACAGGAGGGTCCTGGTGGAATATAACCCTCTCGGATCCTTTTGGGGGATTGAGTTTCCCC